ATTCTTCATTAGAAAATAATTTTAAAATAATGCATTACTGTTCATGCTAAAAAAAAAAAAAAAAAAAAGAAAAAAGAGGTATAGGTTAAAAAAAATATAGTTTTTTTAAATTAAAAATTGCATTCAACTCGTTGTCATTTCCACTACCAGACACTAGAGGGGAAAAATGTTCCATGTTTTTAGACCATTAAGATCCAAACTAAGCTGTTATGTATTCCATTTTATGCATCACTTCTCAGAATAAGGATGCAGAGTATAATACATTTGTTATAGATTTTCTAGTTGTAGCAGGAAATGATTAATTATACTGTATTCATATTGTTATTGATTCACTGAATTAGCACTCAGACATGGGGTTCATATCAGTATTCGTTTCTAAATAGTCATCTGGCATCAAGATGTGATACAGTCTTATTATTTAATCCTTGCAGCATATGAAAATCCATTAAAATACAATGTATTTGAATTAGAATGTAACAACTTTGTCCAGGTGATGGTAGCTGGTTCATTGAATGTCTATGTACAGATAAGTTCTTGTGAACATGTTCATTCATAGAAAATGCATTTTTTCTTTTCTATGAAATATTTTCATGAATACAAAGAATTCTTTTATGCTTGTGATAGTGTTTCTTAAAACAAATCTGACAGTTGTTATTTCTTGAACTCTACACTATGTTCTGCTTTACCACAAAAAAAAAAATAAATTAATACTTAGACCTTGCAAAATCCAAATACTTCATATCCAAATGTATGTCACAATACATTTTACTGGAAATAATCGGGAGAACTTTAGAAAATTCAGTGGTGTTTTTTCCCAGACAAGCACAGAAAGCAGAAATGTTGAACAGTGATGGCAAACAGGGAGAACAACAGATGTGCAAGTGTGCTCCACAGACTAAGCCGAAGAACATTCTAACCCAGGTGCTGGAATCTCTTTAGTACTACAGGGCATGTGGCATTAAAGGGCAGTATTAGAACCAGTGGGCTTGTTACCTGCTTGTGTTCCCCGTGTTCCTGTTACAATTCCTTCATACAGCCTGCTGTACTGCTGTACTGCTGTACTGCTGGCAAATGTGATTGAGATTCCCAAAGGAGCCCAAAGAAACGAGATTTCTGGTTACCCCTGAACCTGAGATCTGGGCACCCAAGTCCCTGAGGTCCATTTTAGAAGCTCAGACCAGATTATCCTGTGAAGACATCCCTCACCTTCCTTCCCTTGCTGACTCTCATCAGGTTAGTTTTGGCAGAAGGCGTAGGAGTACTCCGTGTAGGGCAGAGATGTGTGTTGTTCTGTTTTCATATTGATAGATGCAAGAAACAGAGTAAAAGGGAGGAAAGATAAATAGAAGTGTCAGCCAGGAGAATTACTCAAGATAATTGGTTACCCCTTGTCTGAGTGCTACAGTACAGTGAGAAATGATGCTGTGCTAGTTCTACTAGGTGACGAAAGATGAATTGACAAGTAAAGAATAATATGAACTTCTATTTGATACTCATTTGCTAGGTGAGAAGACGAGGCGGCAAGTACACTTGGGGGCCACAAAGGTAAAAAAAGGTGATCATAAGAAGCAAAAGACCTTTATCCAAAATGATTTGATTGGTTTGTTGTTTATCAGGAGTCCCCAGATTTTTGATGAGATTATTTTCGGAAGTGTAAATATATCAGAACATGAAGGAAAAGAGGTATAAAACCACATTGGTTGGTTTAGTCATCTGGAAGTAGATAATTTTATAGAGAGACAGCCAGATACAGAGTTTAGACAGGATTCCATACAGAATTGAATACCTGGGAAGATTTAATACTTTTGTTTATTCTACAAATGTAGATTTCTGGAGATTTTTCTGAAAATTCTCTTAGTGATTCTTCAAGATTCCTGTGCCTCTCTGAAATTAAGGGCTTTATTTTTAATCAAAGTGTGAAATTAATTAGATAAACCAAAGCAACACATACATAAAAGTAATACATCTACAATGGAATGCTGTATAAAAGGGAGCACTTCATACGTTTTGGACAGCTTCATTCACAATGTATAGCAAATGTGACTACTTAGCAAGGCTGAACCAATTTCCAGACAATTATTTCCAAAAATGAGTAGTTGGATTATCTGAACACATATCCATTACTGGTGCAGTTATTAAATGTCATCTTCATTTTTAGAGAAGCTTAAATCACTCCCACTAATATCAATGAGGCTGATGTATGTTCAACAAGGGGAAAATATATCCCTAATGAATGAGTTGTCACTGAGATTTCTGATTATGTTAAATAGTTCAATTTTCTACTATTCTATCACATTGCTTTCTAACATTATTCAATACAAAGTCAACAACTTTGTCTATACTATCAGTGGACAAGAAAATGCACCTAAAAAAAATCAACTTTGTAACAGAGTGAGACTTTTGCTGTAAACTAACTTGATATAAACTTAAACTTCTCTGGTAGTCCTGGAGGCCTTTATCACAGCTACCTCCATTTTATTTCTTGTTCTATATTTATACCAGAGACAATTTGGCATCACATACCTGTATAAAATATATGTGTATGTAAGCATTATTTTTTTGCATGTATATAAGGACAAGATTTTTCTCCTGTAGTTGTATAACTATACGTAGAAGTTTTTAAAGAATTATTCTAGAATAATAAATTTATTTATTTATTTATTCCCTTTATTCTAAAACAAAGGGAATAAAGAGAGGTCCCTATGAAAGAGATTGTGTATATTCAGAAAAAAACTTCATTTTGTTTTGTGACTTCTAATTTTTTTGTCGCCACCTATTTCGTAGAGATTCTTTCAATTGCAAATGCAGTGCTTTTCCAGTACTGAAATCATAACCGATAAAGCTTTTGGTATTGGACTCTAAGATAGGCCAGTTCTTAATCTCTAGAAACTAGAGAATCTAGAAAATATGTGTAATCTAGAAGAAATGGGGAAAAATAATTTGTTAATCTGCTAACAAAGATTAAGTGGAATTCCAGCTGGATTAGCCTGCTGTACTCAATGTCAGTCCTATTTCGTAGTACTACAGATAATCCTTAATGGCACAGAACGTTATGGAGACAATTAGCAGTACAGTAGCTGAGAGCTAGTACAAAAACCCAAAATGAAAAGCTGGCATGTTGCCTCTACAGTGTTCTTTTCTTTCCTGTTGCAGCAGTGTGACATATATACATGGTCCTCTAATATCAGCGAACTCTCCTGGACCATTCTATTCCAGGGCCATATCCTCTGAAAAGGCTGAAATGTCAGGCTGTGGTCCTGCTTTTGTGCCTGACTTCTTCTCTTAGGATTCTGAACTCCACCATTTTATATTCAGTGCAGCCAAGGCTTCCTCTGACATTTAAGTTCCTCATAAATTCTTCCTTGTTCAGAAGTGCCAGCTCCAGTGTAGCACTTTTTTTACTTTTGGTTCCTCAATTCCCTGTTTCAGGAAGATGTCTTCAGTGCTCTCCATAAACTGAGGTTGCTTGAGTCCTTCTGTGTTATCCTTCTGGCAGGTATCAGGGTGGCAGAAGAGTTCCTTGAGAGCTAAGGCCTGGTGGAAACTGCATCAGTGCTTTAGAGATCCTCTTTCAAATTTGATTGAAAAGTTTCAAACATGAGGAAAAGGAACATCTGGACAGGAGTGAGTTTAAAGGTTTGGGGTTTTTTTCGGTTTGGTGTTTTGGGTTTTTTTGGGTTTTTTTCTGGTTGGTTGGAGGTTTTTTTGTTTTTTTTTAGGTTTTATAATATTTGAAGATTTTACCTAAAAAAGGATTTCTTAATATTTCAAAGCCAATATCAATCCTTCTGCTGGGATATTTATTTGTCAATGGATTTTTGGATTTTACCTCATCCTGTTTTTTTGTCATAGTATGTACAGCAAAAGACTACCAATAGGTATAAAATACTAAAAAAAAATCCAGAAATGTTCAATTTTGCTTTCTTAATGTTGATGGAAAGGTATTTTTTTTTTCCTCTATTCTGTCTTGTATGGCCATTTTAATTTTAACCCAACAACTCCAGGGAAGTGCCTAGTATAACAATTGGGACATTTTAGCACCAGCTGCTGATAAACTAAAATAGTAATTGGTGGGTAATATTTATAAAGCTACCTCAAGCTGCTAGATGGCCAATTCCAGTTAAAATTGGTACAAAATGTGAGTCTAAACATTAAATGCAGCTTTGAAAACCTGAACTAAAGTTATTAAAAAAGGCTATGATTGAATCTGCTGAAGCTTCTTATCCCCGTTGTCTCTACTGTCAAATCATTACTAAACCCACTCTTCAAATGGTATGTGTTGGCTGTGTAACCAGCCTACACAACCAGTTCTGTATGAACAAAATTAAAGTCTGCATTATGCATATTCCTAGCACAGCTGGATGGTCCTTTCTGAGGTCTGTGTTGTAAGTTAGGGCCATTTCAGATGCAGCTAAATTGACTGCAGGCTCTGTTCTAGCCAGTTCCCCACAGAGTAGTAAGAATCAAAGTCATCTCTGTGTCTTGACTAGCAAGTAGATTGGCAAGTACTTCTGTTATATTTGTACAGCCATCTTTCCACTGCAACTCACAGTGCAGGGAGCATGTTTGCTTACTCCTTAGAATAGACCACTGTCAAATATTACAGACAGCTTTCATAATATCCTAGTTTAAAAAATGACAGTAAAGATCCAGTACTGCCATGTACTGGGTTGCTAACTCGTGCACTTATTTGTTCTGCTTTGGAGTAGTACTAAAGAGTTTTCTTTAATAATTTTTTTTTTTTAAAGCACTTTGTATATAATTTAAAATTTTGTTTTGAAAGGGAAGACTGGTGACTACTTGATCAGCTGATTACTTATGCAGTATTCGTTTCTCTTATAAAAAATAAAAAATGTCCAGTTGTTTGCTGCTGCATATTCCCAAGTCATCTCTCCTAACTGAGGTATTTTCATAGAGTCATACGACACTAGGTTGGAAGGGACCTCAAGGGGGATTAATCTTTATTGGCAAGAGCATACTAAAACCACAGCCTGGGCAAGATGTCTCAGCACTATGTGCAGCTGAGTCTTAAAAATGTCCAACGCTGGGGAATCCTGCACTTACCTGGGGAGATCATTCCAGGCCACATTATTCTCATGGTGAAAATTCTTGTGCCCGATTGGAATCTTCCCAGAAGTAACTTGTTCCCATCACCTCTCATATTTTCCATGTGGCTCCTTGTAAAATGGAGTTATCTTAGTCTTTAAATACAGGAACATGGTGATAAGGTCTTTCCAGGCCTTCTTCTCTGAAGAAGCTTCTCAGGCTTTTTTTGCAGCCTTCCAATCATTTGGTCATCTTTGTGTCCCTTCTGTGGACTCTCTCCAGCCCATACAATTCTCCTTTGTATACTGGGGATCAAAAGTGAACAGAGTATTCCAGGTGTGGCCTGACAAGCGCTGAGCAGTGGCACAATGATTTCTCTCTCCCTGCTGGTGATGCCCTCGTTGCTGCTACCCAGCATCCTTTCTCTGCTGCAGCAGCAAACCGTTCACTCATGTTGAGCTTTTTGTCCACCAGACTTCATATCAACAAAAGTGGAGCAACCCTTGTAATCATCAATCCAATGCTGATTAACTTTTGAAGATGGACTGCATTTAAACTACAGATGCAAGCATTATGAGAGAGCTGCACTGTGTTCAAGTCATTAACCTACTACTTTACTAAAATACTTTTTGTGGGCTAATTCATGGATGCACATATGAAATGCTAAATTTACAGATTATTGGCTCAGAAAAGATTCTTGACTTCAACTTGGACACCCATCTGTTTTTCCAAAAAAAAATTTTTAAAGATGTCATTGCAACTTTATACTTGACTTTTCTTTGATTATTGAATTTTGAGAGCTGTCTGATTTTTAATATAATTTGAAATGAGTGGAGCTTGGCAGGCATGTAAATACTATGTGTAGTTTATTGCATGAAAAAAGTACCTAGGGTATGGTTCTCTCGTTATATTTCATTCTACACTTGAAAGCTATCTAAAATATTTTTAAAACATATTTCAAATGTAAATTTAAACTTTGTGGAACAACAGAAATCTTCTCTATGGCAACGTTATTCACTGGACTGATGGCATCCTTTAATTAAACAAACTTATTCCTAATGATGGCTTTGGCTGGATCTTTGCAGAGATTTTTACAAGCAGTATGATCATAGCTCAAAAAGTCAGTGGGTGGAATTATGGTGTCCAATATGGAAATTCAGATTGATTTGATAATTTTGTCTCAGAAAAACTTAGAAGTAACTGAAGATCTTGAGAAGTTACTCTCTTTAGATATGTGTGATTCCAGAGCCATCTTTTGCATACAGATATGATCTGGACCTAAGCCAAAGCTTTTATCTGTACAATTTCTAGCTTAATGGAGAAGGAAAGTGTTCAGAAGCTTAAGTAAATCCCTGTCTATATCAAATATTTGGGCACATATGTCTATGGCTCATAGACATGCTTTCAGGACTCTGAAGAACTTACCTTTTCCTTCTGTGCAGATCTTCTTACACTCAGTGGCTCTCATTCAGCTGACTACAAGAGCTGCCTGTTATTTTCAGTGTTTAACTCTGTTCAAGTTCACAGTCATCTATCGAGAAAAATATGGATGATAAGCAATAATAGCTAAGAAAACAAGTATTTTTCCTAAATTATAATTATTTTAATTCAAATGTACAGAGTAAGATCTGAACCAAAATAAAATGTTCCTAACGAAAAGAATTCCAGCTGGTGACAATTACAATATCCTCTGAAATATTATAGTATTATGTATAGGAAATAACTAAAAATTATTATTTCACAGACCTGTAGCTCAAACAACTGGACAGAAATTTCATATATGCTGAACTGCTTTGTCTCCCAGTAGCATGGGATTTGTGAGTACAAGAAATAAATAGACCTCTAAAAGCTCAATGTCTCATAAAATGTATATCTGCTCTGGTTATAGAACAGAGATTTGTTCCTGTGGTAAACATTGTAACTTCTGAAGCTATTAGAGCAGATAGGATATATCATTATCAATTGAGAATTAATTACACATGCTTCATTTTTCAGTCCTTTTTTTGTTTGTGCATATTGTTCCCAAATGATCTAAAAGCCATAAATGTGGGAATCTTGCACCATGATGAATGAGGTGATTTAAAGAACATTCTCACCCAGTCTTCACACACAAAGAGCAGTACTGACGAGAAATAGGCCATAGAACGGGTGGATTATTTATATTATGAAAGTTTTCTGAAAATGATCCTTAAATCATAAATCTTAAATCTTAAAATGCTCCTGCTATTTGATGTTAAAACTGATTTTATTTAATTAAATAAAATTTATAACTAAAAGTTAAAATAAAAGTTAAAAAATAAAGGATATGTTAAGGATATGTTGATCACTTTTAGTAAGAGTTTCTATTTTTACCAAGGCATTATGCTGAAATTATTGGATAGGTTTCAATATCATAAAATTGGGGTTATTTGAAATCCTATAGAATAGTAATGATAGATTTTATGCCTTGATAAGGACACAGTGTCAAATGCATATGACTGTAAATTTGAGAAACCACAAAATGGACTTATTCTCAGTGCTTGTAACTGTGTGTGGTGTCCTCAAAGTTGCTGTGATTATGCTGATTAACTTAAGCAAACATATTTGGACCTGAAACTTTTCCTGCAGTACAATCACAAGAAAATACAGAGAAATGGCACACGACAGTCATAGTTTTGCTTTGTCTTCCATTTACCAGAAGGTGAACACATACTCAGTAGCAGTACTTTTCCTACAACGATCATCACAGTTACAATTTCTCTCAAACACAGAACCCTTTTTAGAGAGTCAAGATGAATGCATATCAGCACAAACACCGGCTCTTTCACTTTTTATGTTCTTTTATAGCTGGCCTTTGCCAAAGGAATACAGGGCTATCACTGGAAGATTCATTCAGGCTGTTAAATCTAATGTGTAACTTGCATTCATTCTTAAACACAACACAACTGAGAGCAAATAAGACAATTCTATTCCCAGAACATTTAACTTTGCAGGAGAAAATGTCAGGCTTGATAGATTTGTTAACTTCAGTGGCTGCACCAACATTTAATGACATAAAAAGTATTTGCCATATAGAATAAAAAATTACCTGAAAGATTGAAAGTAGGTTTAGTGGTAAAGTTTAGATAAAGGACATAGGCTTTTTTTAATTTTTATTTTTTCATTCTTTCAAATATTTGATGGTTCTGATAGTTTTTATTGAAATTCTAGTACAACTTCCATGAGAAACTGCCATGTGTTTATAATGTCAAGATCACCAGGATAGGGTATTTATATGATAATTTCTGAAGATTTTCAGCAGCTAGATAAGAAACACATTCAAATTGACTTTAGTTTACACTTGCCACTGGCAAAGGCACCAATTTTTTATTAACTTCATGGCATAAAAAACTTCAGGACAAAAAGCTGTCCATCACTTAGTGATGGACACTGTGATATCCTTTCATGTATCTACCTAGACTAAGGAATATGAAAATTTTTCTTCAGAGGCTGCATTTCCCCATATGCCATCCAATATCAATATATCTTTATGAGGAAAAAAAAAGCAAAAGGATTGGTCCTAATGTTATTAAATTATCTTCAAATACCTCATTCTTTTTTGGTTTTGGAGCATCCATGTGCTGAAAGCAGAGCTTGTCATTTGGAGCTAGCGTGTCCTCCTCTATTTGTGCCTCAAACTGCAGGTAGAAGAAGGGGAGAAAAAAATTAAAGAACAGAGAAGGAAGCAGAATAACAATAGCAATAATAATATAATATTAGACAGGATAATTTTGGCAGTGATCCATCAGTTTACTGTCTGTAGACGTGGCATATCTTCAATATCTTTTGCTGGCTCAGGTGAGGCTGGACATGTCCCCACTGCAGCTCTCTTAAGATTACTGGAAGCCCAGAATTAGTAACAGCCCTGTCCTAATGAATGCAGCCATTCTTTTGAAAATAGAATTTTTGCTTTTCTGACCTTTTAGCAAAACCTGTAACACACAAAGTTGTCTGTACTAGGTGCTAGGGTTTTTTAAATTAAACTCTTGATCCAGCCTCAAAACCATGAGATTTTTAAAAATTATCCCTTTGCTTAGAAAATGAAGGTAAGGCTCTACAGCCAACACTGATCCTATAGTATAGCAAGGGAAAGCATCACCCATTAGCCTAAAAGACACTTAAAATAAGAACTTAATGATTTTTTTTCTCTGAAACATCTTGCAGACTGAGGGACGTGACTCCATAATTAATTTCCCTGGTATTTTGTAGAAGAGTTTTCTACACAGAATTGCAATTTATTTCTGTACAAAAAGTTCATCCCAAATAGTGAAATACTTCTGCTTTCTGTAAAAAGCTCCTTTGCTTTTCTTTAATCTTTGTTGTGAAAACCAAAGCATTGAGATAGCTGGTTTTTTACCCTTGAATTTACTTCAAAGGATTATTCAGAACCTTATATGAATGAATCTGTTGGGGTACTTTTATTCATTCTTAAACACAATTCAATGCAAAGAAATTAATTCAGTCTTCAGAATAGTTAACTTTACAAGGAAATAGGTTATGCCTGATTTTTTAATTCTGGAAACTGAATCAAAATGAATTAGTAAAAAGAAATATAAAAAGATACTATGTTAAAATAAAAACCCAATCTACTAAACCCCCATTACACTTTTTTATAATGATGTTACTTTTTCTGGATTTGTTTTTTTTTAAAAATATTTTTATTGCTTCTCAGAATTTTCTTCTAGAAAAACATTGCTTTGATAACACTACACTCTAGGGGTTTTTTTTGGGGGGGAAATAAAATGACTAAAATAATAAAATGCAGTAGTAGCTGCTACTGGAAATTTCCACATGTGTTCCTTGAAGGGCTTGATTGTGTGCAATAATAATAAGTGTGAATAATGTACAATACAATATGTCTACATGGTGGTTTGATAGTTCTGCTAGATTTCTGTCATTGGCTCTTTTGGGGATTTGGATTTCTTCTCATTTCTATGAGGTTCAATAATCTCAGTGAGCAAGGTTCTGTAGGGAACACTAAAAGGTCACTATATAATAATGTGTTCTCAGTGAATCATTTTATGTATGAACAATGTGCTTATAAATTATAAAATACTATTGCAGTCATTTAA